ACTTATTGTTTATTGTTTTTACTGAAAAAATATAGTTAGGGTCACACAAGAAATAAATTATATGACCGGACGCGTTCTGGGTGCTGGGCGTCCGGTAACCGGACGCGTAGCCACGACCTAATTTCAAAGGTAAAACTTTGATCACGAATTAAGGTTCAAGTTGCTCAACTTATATTCTTTGCATGAGATGCGTAACGTACCTCGGTCTAAATCTAAAAATCCCTATTCAATAATATTATTTGTATAATCTGCATAGAGATTAATATGAAATATAGGCATAACCTAATGGCGAGCGTCATTACATTATCTGACCTTTGCATGGAAATATAGATGTATACATGTTTATATTCATTTCTATGAACTTATCTAATAATAATATATTAACTTATATAAGATCCGATAGGTGGCACGGTCAAAGATGTTTGTTATGATTGGAAACGCGCGATTGTTATTATTATTATTATTATTATTATTATTATTATTATTATTTATTACTGTACTACTTTATTATATATAACTTATAAATCTTAATTGTTATTATTATCTGGTAATTTTTATTTTTATTAGTAGTACCCGGTAGTAATAGTATTATTAGTTTAGTAGGGCCTACATTTATTAGGAATATATCTGGCTAATCTGACACATATTCACCCATAATTATTATCTGCTAATCAAGACATGCACAGTTCAGCCGGAACCTCTTGCCCAGAAACGGATATGCACACTTTTTGGATCGCAGAGCCTATAAATCAACTTATATGCTCAACTTATATGTTGATTTATATGCTCTGGTATAGTCTAAAGAACTCACTACGCTTCCTATGAAGATATAATGGCCGAATCTAGGCTGCTATACTAATGCCAAAACACACACACGTCCTTCGCTGCGCCGGTTTCCGGGAGTCACATAAAACCGACTTTGGCCTGTTTTTGCAATGATTCTGTATAATAATAAACAACGTCGCCGTTGGGCAAGTGCGGGTCGACGAGTGTCGCTAGTGAATGTCCGGAAAACACGTGTATTTTTTGCTTCGTGTTCAATTACGGATTTTCTACTTCATTGTGCTTCTAGATCTAACCCCCGCGGCCACATTGTAAAAGGGTCCAAGACTCCAAATTTAAANGTGTGTTTGTGTGTGTGTGTGTGTGTGTGTGTGTGTGTGTGTGCGTGTGTGTGTGCGTGTGTGTGTTGTGTGTTGTGTGTGCGTGTGTGTGTGTGTGTCGTTACACACACACACACACACACACACACACACAGTGTGTGTGTGTGTGTGTGTGTGTGTGTGTGTGTGTGTGTGTGTGTGTGTGTGTGTGTGTGTGTGTGTGTGTGTGTGTGTGTGTGTGTGTGTGTGTGTGTGTGGGTGTGTGTATATATATATAGCCTGTCTCATCATCCGACACGCATGATAACCCGTTCTATCTGGATGTCACCGTGTCATGTTCTGTCCACTATAAGAACGACACGCGCGACAGCGCGCTGCTATAGCGAGCGACTTGGCGACAACAGCGCGACCGACCACCAGCGAGCAAGACAGAGATCAACAAGTACACGTTAGGTAAGCGCAAGTTAAATAGTAGTACACGTTTAATATAAGTTACGCGAGTACAAGGAATGTACGTGCAAGTCAGTAAGAATGAGTTAAAAACTGTACAGGTGGTCTCTACGCGTTATTTCCACGATTTTAGTAGATTTTCAGCCGCGTTCAGTTCGTCTGTTGCAACCTTACCGACTTACCGGTAAGGTTAGTACCAACCTTACCGACACATATCTTTTGCGCCATCATTCACTCTTCTACGGAAAATCTATCCTATATAAAGTCGGATCGACCACCTGGTTTCGTTTACCTAGCTGCGGGTTAGAATTAGTATTATAGTAAGTTTTCTTCGCGTTCACACGTGGATACACATAATAAACAATAATATATATATATATATATATATATATATATATATTATATTATATTGTTTATTATGTGTATCCACGTGTGAACGCGAAGAAAACTTACTATAATACTAATTCTGTATATATATATATATATATATATATATATTATATATATATATATTATTGTTATATATATAATCAAGAGTAGATAATATACATGTGTTATTATCTACTCTATATATATATATATATATAGAAGTAAAGTCACACACGAACACCCGTGTAGATAAAAAACAAAGTCAATGTATGGAATAATGGTGTTTAAAGTTTAATTGACGAGCTTTCGAGATTACATCTCTTCATCAGGTCAACAGACATTAGAATAGAATCAAATAATCAAAACAAATACAATGCGTTATAGATAATCAAAAATGAATGATTCACACAATTCGGCTCAAATAAATGCAGCTCAAAAACTGATTTTAACACAAAAGCTTCCAATATGATTGAATGTTTTACACGCCGTGGCTATAATCAATCTGATCTATCTAAGAAATTAAAAAAGATATTTCCCTTAAATCGGGCGTCGTTAATAACCACTAGAAAAGACAGGGCGTGAATAAAACGTCAGACAGATGTCCATTGGTTTTAACCTATCACCCTTCAATCCTGCACATCAAAAGTTTGTTAATTGATAATTATAAAATTCTTCAAAACGATCCAATCACAGTTAACATCTTTTCAAACCCACCTTTATGCTCGTACAGACGTGATACCAACCTCCGCGACACTCTTGTTTCAAGCACCGTTTACAACTCTGACAACCCCGTGTAGCCAACTGCGCTCAGACCCGTGTTGTCGGAAACGTTGGCAGTACTTGCAATTTTATCACGAATAGGTCTGTGGTTCAAGGGCCTCGCCGGCAAATTTATAGTGCGGATTCATTTACATGCGTGTCGACGAACCTCATATACGCCATTGATGCGTTAAATGCAAATTTACTAATATTGGCAAAACAAAAACGCCGCCTTGGCGGTTAGGTTTTTGAACACCTAAGATCTATTCGCCTCAATTTCCATGATTTTCCGGTTGCTGACCATTTTAACCAAGCGGATCACCACCAACTGATGACGTGCGCTGTGTGGTGGCTGCCAACTCTGACACCATATTTTACAATACCTCACGCCGAACATGACTGAGCAGAAATTAATTCTGAGGCGTTGGTTGTTTAAATCTAGGGGGCATGAACGTAAACTTTAATTACGTGTGATTTTGAGTCCTTTGCTTCGTTGTGTGTTTGTGTGTGTGTGTTGTGTTTGTTTGTGTGTGTTGTGTGTGTGTGTGTGTGTGTGTGTGTGTGGTGTGCGCGTGTGTGGGTGTGTGTTGTGTGCGTGTGTGTTGGAGTGTTGTGTGTGTGTGTGTGTGTGTTTGTGTGTGTGTGTGTCTCTCTGTGCTGTGTGTGTTTTTGTGCGTGTATATATGTATATATATATGCGTGTTCATTTTGTCGT